GCCTGCTGCCTCTTATGGCTCTCCATCAGCATGAAGGCCGCCTGCACAAAGCGTGACAATTAGGACGACGATGACACCTGCAATGATGTGAATAAAGAAAATAACAATGTAAAGCTAACTTACTTGGACGAGGTGGTCCATTTCAACGTCATAAATCCGGACGTTACCCAACCCATTAAGATAAGCTCGTCCTTCATCTGGAACGGCCTGGGAGATCACCTCATGGCTGTCAATGATCTCATTGAACATGCCGCCTTTGACAGGATATTCAACCTCAAGCTTGTAAGTCCCCCTGACCATCTCTTTGCCGGACCGATTCTTCCGAGAGCCTTGGGATTCAGGGGAGGCTGAGAGACAGCAACAGACGAGGGGCCGAAGGTCAGGTCCATAACAACGTCAGCGTTGGATCCTCCATCGTCTCCAGCTGGGATGGCCAGAGTTCCGGCATCAATAGCAGACGAGGGAGAAACCCTCTTAGACTTCTTTGGAAGGCTGCAAACCAGCCTCAGTCAACTTCTTCTGACCGTCATCCATTTCTTCTTCAGCTGAGTGAGCGGTTTCTTCACGTGAACGGAGCTCGGTTGGGCTCCACTAGCCGATGCCTGCTTTGCAGCAAAGCCTCCTTGGCCGTCAATTCCCCGATCGCTTTCACTGCAACCCTCTTCATGATGGATCTGCGGTCCATGACAAAGTCTGCACGGTAAAAAACAAACAATGTTAGTAAAGCAAGAAAATAAAATGGGACCAAGGACGCTAGGAGGGTATTACCATCGGCTTCAGCAGGCACACCCAAGTACGAGCCATCGGCCTCCTCAAATGTCGTGGACATCCTCAGCCACAGGTCATCATCGTCCTCTGCATCCCTATAAACGAAGTACCTCACAAAGCCGAGGACGACCATCTTGTACTCTGTGATATAATTTTTCACGCTCCTCGGCCCGTCCTTCAAAGACGCCTCCACTTGAGCATCTAGGAGTGCGCTCTTTGGCACCTAGTGGAGGTTGAACCTTCCGGTATGACCGACTGAAGGAAACTTAGTCCCTTCTTCGGCCAACGACACAAAAACAAATTTACTCTTCCAGCCGTGAATGAACGAAGGAAGATCAGTAAAGGACCTCCTATTCTTCACTTGCTGGAGGTTGGCATAGCCGGCACAGTTCTTGTGGCTGCCTCGGCCTATTTGGTACAGGTTCATGAACAGGACCATCGTCAGTGCGATATCCAACTCGGAGCAACGAAGCAGGAACCCGAAGATTAAGGAATAACTGTTCAGGGTCAGCAAGGCCGGAGGAAGGTCCACCATGTCCAGATACTCCGTGATGAACGGATGAAGGGGGAACCTAAGCCCCTTTGCAAAACTCATGGGATATACCCCAAAATACCCCTCCGGAGGATTGAGTACATGATTCGTCGGCATAGGCGCCCTAACCCTACCATATGACTCCACATACATCTGGGCGACCAAGTATTCACCCGTGTTGCTCTGCGGCCTAATGATGCAAACATTGGTAAGATCCAAGTAGGGGACGCCCGGACCTTTCTTTGGCCGACGACTCCTCTTCGGCGGAGCTTTCCCTTTGATGGCAGAGAGGGGATCAGGGCATGAAATGGCGGTCGGCGTGGACGCTCCGTCCACTGCACGCAAGACTCCAACGTCCTCACCCTCAGATGATGAGGCGGCTTCCTCATCCATGCTTTCCTTGTTCTCCTGCTCCCCTGATTTCAAGGAGCTCATCTCATCAATCTCCTCGCAACACTCTACCATTACTCGGTAATCAAGAGACTTAGCAGAGACCTCGTCGTCGTACGGGTACTACTCTTCATCCAAGGACTTCACCATAACAACTACTCAAAGCTCTAAGGGGGACTACTTGGGATCTAAAAGGTTTTTGACTAACACTAGATCAAGGCCCTAAGGGAGCAAAAGATACGACAACACAGAAGAACAAGTGAAGAACTAACCTTGAAGATCGTTGAGGAATGAAGAACACTCGAACCAGACTCTCTCTCTCTCTAGGAAATTGGGCAGCACTTTGTTGGCACAAATCACAAATGGGGGTTTCGCTTCGGAGTGGAGGGGTACTTATAGACCTCCTCCCAACGTTCACTACACGTGGCACCCCCAAGTGCTCACACGTACGGCCACCACTCTAAGGACCAATGAGGTTCCACCGCTTCAAAGATGGGCCAGGCCCACTTCTAGCACTATCAGCCGAGTTCCAAGGGATACGCAACGGTTCAACGAACCAGCAAGTTGCGCCTACATCGGCCGAAACATTCAACAGCCACACCAAAGCAGTCAACATCACATCAACGGCTGGCCCCATATTAGAACACCACCTCGGCATCAAAAGCCCCAAGGTGCGCCCGTATCGGCCGGACATATCACCAACAGCATGGTCCCTTCAACGGCCACAAAAGCAAAGTACAGTAGAACCTAACAGCCACCGGCCCTCGTATAAAATACTACTGCTGATAACCTCTTGAAAGCGACCTGCGTCCAAGGGTTCTCCCACAGGGTTACCTTGGTCAGGAATCACCAAGAGGTTGGATTCAGGGGAAGTACGTGGATCCTGCTTCGGCCAAGGGTTTTACTTTACTCCTTCACCCCTCACTCATCCTTCGGCCTGAAGCAGTGGGGGACTGGGGGACTACATCGGCTTGAAGCAGTGGGGGACTAGGGGACTACAATTGCCTTCAATGCAAAGATGAAAATTGAAAACTCAAACCAAGCATACAAGTACAACGATGACATCACAACATCGACACACCACAATGTCCAAAACGTGACACACATCGTCCAAGAACATGTAAACCCCCAGCGGACACGAACCAGAACGCCAATACCATGGAAACATCCAAAGCCCAAAGGTTCCGCCTTCGGCCAAAATAGGAAAAAATCACACTCATCGGCTACTCAAGCCAGGACAATAACCGTCCTCAAGCATAAAAGCACGCACCATCCTCATAGCAAGGACCTCCTTCGTCCACAGCAGAGGCCACGCAACGGCCAAATACAGAGAATAACTAGAACGGTACTGCGTCGGCCAGAAACGTCAAGACCACGGTAATCAACTCTCTTTCACTTCGTCTGCATCTCAACTCAGAGAGTGGGGGACTCCTAATGGAGTATATGGATCCAGACCCCATGACCCACATACTCAGAAGAATAAGAAGCACATCTGTCACCCAACGGGTCCTCCATCGGCCAGATGGCCCTCCATCGGCCAGAAAGACATCAACTCAGAATATGATCCAGAAGCCAGGAGAACCGGGGTGTTCCCGTCGACCGGGTCTCCGTCGGTCAGACTTTGTCGGCCACAAAGAGCTCACAGAGCTGGATTTCATACTTAGCCAATTTACGTACTTTGTATTCGGCCCAAGAGAGGCCTCATTATAATCGGGCCTCCCAAACCCAAGACTTGGGAGCCCAGCCCACATCTTCTCTATAAATACTCCCCTTGGGGGTAGTTATAGAGGGTTCACAAATACATTTATTACAGCATTCATTGCACTTCTCTTTCTAGCTCTCACTTCTCTCTAAGAGGTTATACTCTATCGATCACCAACACCAAAGCTCCGCAACCTGTCCTGCGCGAGAACACTGCAGCTTCAATGAAGATTCGTCGTCTATTCCTCACCGTGTACACAAATCGTCGAGCGATAAGGATATCGCCGACCCCAAGCTGATCGCCGACTAAACCCTAGAGAGCTTTTCTCTCTAGGCGGTGCACCACTCGTCTTATGAGGGTTTGGCAATAATTCCATTTGTACTCATTTAATAATTGCATTATTTATCATGAATTACCTTGACAAACAAAAAAATACAGGTACAGATACTTCGACAAAATTGGTTGTGTGAACGAAAATCGATTTGCGTGATCGATTTGTGTGAACAAAAATCGATATTTCAAGGTGGTTGCAGGGAAACCAATGTCATTGTACACATGCATTAGTTGTATGTGTTAACAAAAAAGTGTTTGTACACATACAATTTTTGTCTGTATACACATACATTAGGAGGGGGAGGGGGAGAATACCCAAAAACAAAAAATAATCATCAAAATAATGACCGTTATCACATACAAATACCCCACGAATATCACATTATTACCACATCAAAAATATTATAGCTAAAGATGGAATCTCAGTGATATTTAATAAAAACACCTCTAACCGCCCATATCTATTGGTTGTTAATGAAAATATGAAATGAGTAGCGAAAAGAATGAAGTGCTAAAAGTGTATATTTTAGAGAAAAAATTAGTAACCTTCATATTAATTGCACAAGATGTCATTCTCAAATCACATATATTTTTATTTATTACATTTGATCTTAAAATAATTACAACATATAAATCCTACACTATTTATACTCTACTTTGACGATAATTGATTTACCACGGAGTACTAATTTTTAAAATTTAACAGTGAGTTAAATTTTATGTTTGGCGACACCAAATTATTTTGGAGGTAAACTTGGATGTTGTTGTTATTTGTAGAATTAGAATACTTCATTATATTGTGAATTACCTAAATCACTTTAAGAAATTGCCTTAATTAAATCCAAGATGGAGATGATGAAGAACCATTAAAATTATAAGGAATAACAATAATTAGAGTGGTATTACTATCAAGCTTAATATTAAATTGTGAAATATTAAAACATTTTTACATTACTAATATTGTGAAATACCTAAAGAATTTGAAGCAACCTACGATAAGGTATGGGAGATTTTTTTTAAGCAACCTATAGAATGCTCACCCTTAGAAACCACACTAGCCTTCTTCCCCAAAGACCCGTCCTACTGACATGAACCAGCTGGTTTTCACCCGCTGTCATGTCTTTTAACATCCTCCTGCCTCCTCTACCATCATAATCGAAATTACCAGACAAATTTGGAAAGTAGAGGACAATTGAAATAACCAGACAAACAATGGCTTCAGAAACCACAAACTAAGAACCAAGGAAATAACCAAGATAACTAGAGAAGCAAAGCTTCAGAAACAAATCAAAACGCTTAGACAGTCATAACAAGAAAACAATGTCCCACAAGACCCAAAGCATAAGATTGCTTAGAGACAGTCACAACAAGAAGAAAACTAATGTCCCAAATAATTTGTGTCAACAATTTAAAAACTTGATCAACTGTCAACTGTCAAAAACGGATCCAAAACATTGATCTAAACGGATACATAATTGGTTCCATCTAAGATTCTTGTGTGGTAACACTGTTCACCAATGTGTATAATAATGACACTTACGATAATGGTTGTGCAACTTTTCTACATCATTGATAGACAACTCAACCCGCTTACCAATAGCGGCCTCGTGAGATTGTGAGATGGGTAATCCCACCTCTTTGGAGGGTGAATATTTCCGCAAAGCTAATCATCAAGTGGCTCATAACTTTATCAAGAAACATCAATGAAAATTGTTAAGTTGATAAAAAGCCTTGACATTATGAACAATGACATCAAGAAATGAAGAACATGAATCTTGAAGGTTGCCAGATTTGTTGCCAGTTAATGGCATCCATCATTTTCCAGTCAAACACCATTAAACCATCCAAATAGGAGTCATGACACTCCTCAAACTGCGATGCCTTTCCCTCCCAGGCTCCCACCATCTCTTGAAGGTTGGCCCATTTTCTGCTTCCTATTGAATTTTCTTGATTACCTATAATACCCTCAAGACACAGTGAAACTTCTGTGATTAACAAAAACTTGTTTGTCTCAAAGAATCCAACTAAATTCATGTTCATTACACTTTGATTACAAAATTCTACAACATATTTTATCCTATTTGTCTGACTGAAATGGAGATGGTGGGAGCAAAGAATGTTTCCATTAAACACACACTGTTCTGTTTAGCTACCCTTTGATGCATTCAACCTGGATGGTCAAGTCCTTTATACCAGCATCGTGTAACAAATCTGATACATTATTCTTTGCAGCAATCTTGTCAGTGTCATTTGAGACGTGAAGGTGGACAGTGCCGACAATGTCGGTGTTTGTGAAGCTCCAAACATGCAGGCTCTGGATACCGCACACACCTTCCATCTTCCTAACATTGCCTATAGCTTCCTTCAAGTGACCCTCATGGCCTCTGGGAACTCGTTGCAGCAGAATTTCTGCTGAGTTTCTCAGCAGCGGGATAACTGAAGAGACTATCAATATTGATATAAATATAGAACAGGCAGGGTCCGCAACAAGCCACCCTTTGTATTTAATCAATAGGGTTGAAATAACCACCCCCACACTCCCCATTGTGTCCGCTAGCACGTGCAAAAATATGCCTTCCATGTTATGGTCAATGTGGTGATGGTGGTGGTGGTCATGATGGTGAGGCTTCTCTTTTTCTGCACTCTTAAAGGGTCCATTTGGAACCTGACTAATTCTAGGGAAAGAAAATAAAAGGGAAAGTTAGAGGGAAAATAAAGGATAACATCTGACTCATTTCATTTATTTATTTCTATCATATTATGGTAGAAATAATGAAAAGTATATCACTAAATAAAAGTAATGAATAAAAATGATAGTTTTACATCATGTGACTGTGGTGGTATTTCCACAATGATAGTAGTGAACATGAACACATTCAATTTCACTATAGTGCTACTTTTGCTATGAAAATAGTGACTTTATGTTCGCAGTGACTATATAGTCATATTTGTGTCCATAAGTTTCATATTAATAATATTTTAAGAAGAAACCATATTAAGAAAAAATTGATGCTTCAATAAATGTAAAATATGCACAAATAATCATATTTCATCTTTCTTTTTCTATTTTCCAATGTAAACACATGAGAAAATAGATATTCATATCAGTTTCTCTGCTTCCCCTATCATTTCCCAAGATAGAAACATACCCCAAGTCAATGTTTACATGGTTATCATGGCTAGAACATGATTGCTCATGGCAGTGTTGGACAACGGTGATGTGTTCTTCCTTGTCATCATGCGAATGATGGTGGGAATGAGAAGGTGCACCAGTTCCTCTCATTTCCCTATCATTATCCAAGATCGAAACATGCCCTAAGTCAGCACTTTCATGGTTACCATGGCTAGAGCATGATTGCTCATGGCAGTGTTGGATAACACTGCTGCGTTCTTCCTTACCATCATGCGAATGATGGTGGGAATGGGAATGCGCACATGATCCAGACCCACCATGGGCATGATGATGTTCCTCATGAAAGAATATCAAGCCGACCACGTTAACAAGAAGCCCACCAACAGACACAGTCAACAGACTGTTAGTAGAAATCTCCTGAGGGTCTAAAATCCTCTCAAATGATTCAAGAACAATCAAAGCTCCAACTAGTACCAAGAAAACAGCATTAACATATCCAGAAAGTACCTCGAACCGCCCTCGACCATAGTTAAACTGAACATTAGCCGGCAACCGGGATATGTAAGATGCATATAGTCCAATGGCAAGGGCAGCACAGTCAAACAACATGTGGCTAGCATCTGATATCAAACCAAGACTATTACTCATAAACCCTGCAACGAATTCCACAACCATGTATGCTGTGTTGATCAAGAGGAAAAGAGCAATCTTTCTTGACTTTCTTTCACTAAGGATGTGGCGAAGGGGGTTCATAACAGAAATGTCTAATGATTCAGATGATTGCAAACCTAACTCAAGATAATTAGAATAAACAGGATCTAAATTTCTAACAGCTATCCAGATCAAGAATCCACATATCAACAATCCCCAGAGTGATAGTTCTGGAAAATAAAACAATTCCAAGATAAGAGTACACACATAAGTGACTTCATACTCTCTCTGAAAGTCTTTTGATGCCATTGGTTTTTCATCTGCATTGTTCTCACTCAAAAGCACCCCAAACAGAACTGTATTAACCAATGGCCAACCAAGATTCGATAAAGATACATTCTCACCTTCTGCTTCAAAAACAACCATACTTACAGCAGCAGGTATGAAAAGCAGAACTGTTGTGTAGAACAATGATATCAATCGAACCTGTTTTTGCCCGATTTCCCTTATAGATGCAGGATTCATTGAAATCCCTTCGTAGCATCCCAAAAATCCGGAAAAGAAGGGAAGCAACATAGGCCAAACCCTAACACAATTCCCACTAGCCAGTACAGAAATTCCTAGCTTATTAGCATTCACTGAAGATAAAGGAAAACATTCGATTCTGTCCCAACTAACAGATAAAAAGAGTAGACCGAAGAACAAAGCTATAAATCCACCAATTTTAGATGAACCAACCTTGTTCAAATCAGCAAACTTTCGGTTTTTTCTTCCACCCGCAATGGATCGCGCAGCCACATTTCCGGATAGTTCCGCCAGAATCATTGCTGCGGTGCCGCAATATCTGAGAGCTTGGAATCTGAGAAGGAAGATCACAGCCTGAAGGATGGACTTGGCTAAAAGAAGCTTGTGTTGAGATGGAGTCAACGAGGTGAGGGAGAAAATGGGCTGGCGATGCTTTTGGCGGAAAGGGTCTCTAGAAGAGGAAGCAGAAGAAGAACAAGCTAAGGTGAAGATAGAAAAGAACAGAGTGAGAATGAACGAGAAGAGGGAGACGAGGAAAGAGAACGGGAAGATAGAAAAAGAGGATGGGGAGGAACGGAGGAAAGGGAGAAGAGAGTAGAGAGAACGGAGGGAGAAAAGGAGAAGAAAAAGGAAGGGGATGGATGAAGACTTGGTGGTGGAAGAAAAAGATTTCAGGGGAGTAGCAGAGACACGGTGTTTGGAGGGGGTGTGGATGGGTGTTGCAGGAGGATAGAGGGGGGTTCTTACAGAAGTGGTGGCATCGGTGGTGCGCGGTGGCAGTGATAGGCGGTGTGGGCGGTGATGGTGGTGGTGGTGGTCATCGGTGTGCTCGTGATCGGCCATGGACGAGGTGTAAAGAAGGCGATAAAGGACTTGGGAGTGATAGTTTTCTGATCAGACATTCATCGGACTTGGAGCCTCAGCGTGGTGGCTGGAAATGTAAAAGTCTCCGGGTTTTCTTTTGGGCTATAGCCCGGACATTTTTATTATCCGACATAAAATTGGGCTATTTTCTTGGACAAACAATTCGTCATGGATATATTGGGGTGTGACTTTGAAACCAAGATCGTGGAAACCGTCGGAACCGAACCGTTAAAATGTGGTTCAGTTTAGTTCGGTTCAGTTCCTACACATGAGTTATAATTTTTTAACGGTTCAGTTCTTATTCTTTGTTAACGATTCCGTTCCTGGTTCCTACAAAAAATATATCCACGGAACAGTCAAGGAACCATTATTAAAAAAATAAAAAAATTGTAAGTATAACTAGTAATAATAATAACAATGATAATATGAACATTAAAAATAACAATAATTATAGTGACAATAATAGTAATAATAATATAACCGATGACGTTTAATCACACAACAATTTAAATTTAATTGATGGAAGTGGATGAGGATGAATACATTAAACTCGTTTTTACAAACCATATTTTGTTCCATCACGGAAATTTCATAATTATAAAAGTAAAACAAATTAATTAGTGTTGGTTCGATATATTTTTTCTTTATAATATTCAAGATGATTGTAATTGTGAGATTTAGTGTAAATAATGCTCCTAGGATTTGGATGTAATGATGTTTATATTTGTACTTGTGTATTCAATATGCTTTTTACATTTTGAGGAACTAGAAATCATATTCTACTATGATGGCCCAATTTGTATTGACATCAAACAACAATGATTTTCACATTTTATTTACAAACAAAATTCAAAAATTATTTCATTCTATTAAGTGTTGAATAAATTAAGTTTAGACTTGATGTTCGAAGTGATAAGAGCTTCAACAAGTACTTATTGTTTGTGTTTTGAATTTTCGACATTTTTGCGTTATAGAAAGTAAGTTGTGTTAATTTTTTATGGAAAGTAATTTATGTTTAGGAACCGATAAAAGTAAGAATAGAACCGTTTACTATTGGTTCGGTTCCATAATGGTTCTTGAAATTTTAGATAGGAATCAAACAGATTTGATTAATTAAAGTTTTTTAACGATTCCACTAATTTCATATAAGAACAGAACCGGTCTCAAGCATATGAATAAATGTAAACTCCTGTGAGGATAAATGTAAGGGTACTTTTAAATGGACCGACCTTTTTGCTAAACAAAGCCACATATAATTTCCGTAAAAATAAATCATTTATAATTCTTATTCCTATAGTACCCTTGTAAACTTCAACATCTAATCCATTGAGTTTTTTGAAGACCCGTTTCTCCCTTTCCAGAAGAGAGATTTACCTAAATAGGACTAAAACATATGAAAAATTCCATTATAGGACTACTAGTTTCATTTGAAGAAGCGTAGGACTAAAATAACAGTAGAATGCCGAAATCGCCCTACGCCTCTCTTCTGCCGTTCGTCACTTGCGTGCCCTCCTGCTATCTCAAGCCCTGCTGCAGTTTTCACAGGTAAGTTCTCCTCCTCCTCTTCTTTTTCTCCTCTTCTCTTCTCCTCTCTTCTATTTTCTTCCCGCTCGTACTCTGTTTCATTTTTATTTTGAGTTATTAATTTTGAGTCCACTTTTAGTCGAATTTTATTTATTAATTTGTATTTTTTAGGTTTGAATTTTATTTATTCAGCAGAATGTCACTTTTATAATCTGAGAATGTCAAAATTATTGGTTATTTGAAAAAACTGTCATGTTTGTGGCAGTATATTTATCAGAATGACAAAATGAAAATGTCATATGCCATAAGAAAATGTCATTCTTATGGCATTCTATGACATTTTTATGACTTATCTGAGAATGACATAACTAATTTTTATTAGAAATGACATGTTTTTTGACATGTTTTTCAAATGATGTCATTTTATTGCAAACGCTCTCTTTAAAGACGGCTATATGTAATTGGCACATTCATGACATTTTGAGAACAAACACAACATTTCAAAAAAAAAATAGATGAAGAAGAAGATCCATGGAGGAGACAAAGAGAAGGAGGAGAAGGAGAAGAGGAATAGAAAGAAGAAGAAGAAGAAGTGCAGGGCAAAGGCAGCGAAGTGGAGGTGAAGGCAGCGAAGCAGAAGTGACGCAGGCGGAGCGGCGAAGGCAACTTGCGGTGGAGAAGTCGACGTCGTGCGATGGAATCGGCAGATCTTAGGGGAGATGATGAGAAGGAATCTATCGATTATATGGCTGCAGGGGTAAAAAGAAGATTAAATGGCTTAAGGGGTAAATTTGGGATGCCAATTTTCGTATGTTTAAGAACAAAGGAAAAAAACTTAGTAAATTGGTGGGGGTCTCTTCTCGTATTTCTCCCGTTTCTCCGTTTCTCCCTTCTCAGAAAGAGAAGCTCTCTTTCTCGCTCCAGCAAATCGAGAGAGGATGTTGGGGTCTGGAGTAGGTCCGATGTTGGAGGTTTTGGAGTTGCAGCGGCGAAGTCGCGGGCCGGAGGTCCGATTCTGGGTGAGGCGCCCAAGGTGAGGTGTTGTCCCCGCCTGTAATGAGTCGCTGCCACCGTGCTGAAGCAGCCATAAACTCCTCGGTTGGAATCTCAGCCTTTGCCGCCTGGTTTTGAACTCCAGTGGTGTTCGTTGGCAGGCCCACCTTCACAGAACATATTAGGTGATGGTCTGCTTTCTCCTCGGTAGTGGTGCGACCAGCAAGCCAAAGCAGATAGAGACTCTACCTCCGGCAACCCCGTTTCTGGCATTGTCACCGGCAGTATTGCCGGATATCCCTTGGTTCACGTTCGGCAAATAATCAACACCTTACATATATAGTGCTCGTCTCAGCCGAAGAAGAAGTCGGTAGCCCACCACAAGAAGACTCAGCCGGAAAAGTCCCTACGGGTGATAAGTTGTATGTGGGTGAAAATTTTGGATGACGTAAACACATCAACCCTCTCTAAAGATGGTCTCAGGTTCTTATTTATGGTCATAACGTAACTAAGAATCTATATGAATTCTAATAGAAATTGAAATCTGAATGACAAGAAAGAAGAATCGATTTGCACAGAGAGCTAATTCGTAATCTATGAAGATAGATTGCGGAGAAGAGAATATGAAAACCTAAAAACTATTACAGAGTTAAATGATATTTATACTAATGGGCTAACAGGCCTAAAATAAGGAAACAATCCATTAGGCCCAAAAATATAAAACAGTCCAAAATATATATTTAAGACGCCCCCTCAAGATGATCATGGATGTCTTGCATGTTCATCTTGTCTGCAAACTGCTTGAAGAGAGGATTTCCAAGTGACTTTGTGTAGATATCTGCAAGTTGATAAGTATTAGAGATATGTTCAAGTTTTATAAGACCAGAATTGATCTTTTCCCTAATTAAATGACAATCTAGTTCTATATGTTTTGTTCTTTGATGTTGGATAGGATTGTATGCTAAATGATAAGTAGATTTGTTATCAGTGTATAAGGTTATGGGTAAAGAATTTTTAATTTGTAAATCATGAAGGATATAAAGTATCCATTGGGCCTCACAAACTGCATTTGCAGCTGCCCTGTATTCTGCTTCAGTAGAAGATCTACTGATTACAGGTTGTTTCTTGGATTTCCAAGAAATTAAGGAATCTCCAAGATAAAAACAATACCCAAAAATACTTTTTCTAGTATCAACACAAGAACCCCAGTCAGAATCTGTATAGGCTTGAATATTAAAGGAAGAGTTGGAAGAATAAAACAGACCTTTACCTGGAGAGCTTTTAAGATATCTAAGTACTCTATGAGCTGCAGCCATATGAATATTAGTAGGAGAGGATAAAAATTGACTCAATATTTGAACAGAGTAAGCAATATCAGGTCTAGTGACAGTAAGGTATAATAATCTACCAATTAGAGTTCTATAGGTTTTAGGATCTTTTAAAACAGTACCATTGTGTTTTGAAAGTTTAAGTTTAGTATCCATAGGAGTGGAAAAAGCTTTTGAAGAAAGATAACCAAAATCAGACAGTATGTCAAGAGTATATTTTCTTTGGTTTAGAATAATACCAGTTTTTGATCTAGCTATTTCTATTCCTAAAATATATTTTAATTTTCCAAGATCTTTAATAGTAAATTTTTGATGTAAGAAGGATTTAATAGCATTAATTTCATTCATATCATTTCCTGCAAGAATTAGATCATCAACATAAAGTAATATGACAGTAAAAGAGGTATTATTAATTTTAGTGAAAAGAGAAAAATCTGCTTGAGACTGTGTATATCCAGAAAGTTTCAAGGCTTCAGACAGTTTAAAATACCATTGTCTAGAGGCTTGTTTTAGACCATATATACTTTTAAGTAATTTACAAACTCTATTATCATTGTTAGGCAAATAACCAGGAGGAGGTTCCATGTAAATATTTTCATTTAAGTCACCATGTAAGAATGCATTATTTACATCTAATTGATGTAAATGCCAATTTTTAGAACTGGCAATGGCAAGAAGAATTCTAACAGTAGTTAACTTTACAACAGGTGAAAAAGTATCAAAATAATCAAGTCCTTCTTCTTGAGTATAGCCTTTAGCAACAAGTCTAGCTTTATATTTGTCAAGAGATCCATCAGCTTTTAATTTTGTTTTGAAAATCCATTTACAACCAATAGTATGTTGATTAGAAGGAAGATCAACAAGAGTCCAGGTATTATTATGTTCAAGAGCTTTAATTTCATCATTCATGGCATTTTTCCATTCTGGAAAATTAATAGCTTGTTTGTAAGTTTTAGGTTCAGAAGTTTTAGAAAGAGAAGCAATAAAACAGTGATGAGAAGAATGTAAATTGTTATATGAGATGTAGTTCTGAATAGGATATCTAATCATATTACAAGAAGGTTCAGAATTATTAGGAAGAAGAGAACTGGGTAATTTGTAATCAAAATTTCTTAAATGAATAGGGATAGATCTTACTCTTGTAGATTTTCTTTGAGTACTTTCTTCAGGAACATTTTCATGATTCTGAAAGGTATCTGTATGTAACATACTAGAAGAATCATCAGCATTAGAACTAATATTATCAAACTGAAACAAATTCAATTCTTCATTTATTTGATTGTCTAAATAATTTGTGATAGTGAAAGAAATATGTGTATTATTATTTTCATTAACAGTTTGAGGAGCAGTATTAGAAATAGTGTTTAAGTAATCATTAATAGTATGATCATTATTTGTTTCAATAGAATCAGAAATAAAAATGTTGTCATAATGTGTAGTTTTATATGGAAAAGTCATTTCATAGAACTTAACATTTCTAGAAACAAAAGTTTTATCAGTGGTTAAATCATATAATTTGTATCCTTTAGAGCCTAGAGGATAACCAATGAAAATGCATTTATGGGCTCTAGAATCAAATTTTGATCTATTAGAAGAAATAGTTGAAGCAAAAGCTAAACAACCAAAGACTTTTAAATGAGTATAATCTGGAACATGATTATAAAGCATTTCAAAAGGAGATTTATTATTTAGAATATTAGTTGGCAGTCTATTTATTATATGCACAGCAGTAAGAATGCAATCAGACCAAAAAGTAAGAGGTAAACATGATTGAAATAAAAGAGCTCTAGCAATTTGTAAAATATGTTGATGTTTTCTTTCAACCCTACCATTTTGTTGAGGTGTTTCAACACAAGATAGTTGATGCAGAATTCCTTTTGAATTGTAAAATTCAGGAAAGATAAATTCAGTTCCATTATCTGTTCTAATAACTTTAATTTTCTTATGAAATTGAGTTTCAATGAAAGTATAGAAATTTAGCATATGAAATTTGACTTCAGATTTAGTTTTTAAAAGAAAAACCCAAGTACATCTAGTGTAATCATCAAGAATAGTTAAAAAATATTTGAAGCCAGTGTAAGAAGTAACTTTGTAAGGACCCCAAACATCCATATGAATTAAATCAAAAGGATTAGAAGCATGAGCAGTACTGATAGGAAAAGGCAGTTTCTTTTGTTTAGCAAAATGACAAATATCACAAGGAGAACAATGTTTTTCATTATTTGAAACATTACAATCAGGAAGCATGAAAAGTTTATTAAAGGGTAAATGTCCAAGTCTAAAATGCCAAAGAGTAGTAATAGAGACAGTATTTTGACTATCAGCAGAGTAAGCAGTAGAAAAATGATCTAAAGATGAATCTGGATTATAGTGATAGAGGCCATTCCTTAGATCAGCAAAGCCAATCATTTTACTGGTAAGGTGGTCCTGCAATATAGCACGGTTAGATGAAAAATAGACTGAGATATTATCATGAGAAGTTAAACTTGAAATAGAAATAAGATTGAAAGTAAAGTTAGGAACATATAAAACATTATATAGAGTAAGATTTGAATTTAAAGTTATGTTACCAATTTTAGTGGCAGAAATGTAGTTACCAGTAGGAAGTTGAATATTAATTGAAACATCTTTTGTTTGAGAAGTATAAAGGGAAGCATCATAGATCATATGATCAGATGCTCCTGTGTCAAGAATCCATTTATAAGAAGTAAAAGATGTTAAAGCAAAGTGTTTACCTAAAAACTGTGAAGCATTGTTTGAAGAATTAAGACCATCTTCAGAAGCAATGGTGACAGCATTAACAGAAGCAGTTTTAGGCTGTTGAGCTTGGATGAATTGCAGGAACTTTTCATACAAGTTTGGATCACAGAATTCAGTGGTAGTAGAATTGGGGTTGTTTGAAGGTGGAGCAGATTCAGTATAATGTGTAGGAGTTAAATCAGGTTCAGTAGAGTTGGCATCTAGATTAGCATGATGATTTTTATTGGAATTGAGATTAGGTTTAAAACCAGGAGCAAGTCTTTGACCTTTAGGGCCTTTCCAGTTAGTTGGATAACCAATGAGTTGGAAACATTTATCAGAAGAGTGACCTTGATAGCCACAATGATTGCAGATAATAGAACTTTTCTTTTTAAAATTCTTAACAAAGAAAGCTGTAGCATCATTATTAAGTTTTTCAGATACAGAAGAATCTGAAAAAGAATTTGTGAAAGAGATAGAATTCTGAAGAGTTCTTTGAGATTCTTCTTGAAGAAGAATAGAGTAAATACCAGATAGAGTGGTTTTATCAGTATTAAGAAGAATCTGACTACGCAGATTAGAATAGGATTCATTGAGGCCAACAAGAAATTTCAGAATAGACTCTTTTTGGATTATTTTTTGATAGGTTTCAGATATATTGCAAGTGCAATTGCCACAAGTACAAGAAGGAATGATTCTGAAATTACAGTATTCATCCCAGATTTCTTTAAAGGAATTATAGTAATCAGTGATTGTACGAGAACCTTGAGAAAGATTTCCTAGGGTTTTTTCAAGTTGAAAAAGTCTAGGACCATCAATTTTACCATATCTAAGTTGAACCTCATCCCAGAGATCCTTAGCATTGGTAAAAGAGAGAAAGGTAGTTCTAAGAGTGGGAGAAATAGAGTATATCAGCCAGGATAAGAGAAGAGCATTAATACGATACCAGTGAGAGTACATTGAGTTATCTGTAGTCGGTTGAGCAAGTGATCCATCAAGGAATCCCATCTTGTTCTTCACCGCCATGGCCATGGTGACCGATTTCTTCCAAGCGCCAAAGTTCTCGCCAGTGAAGGTTTCGTAGATGATGCGAAGTCCCGCATGATCGCTTGGATGAAGGTAGTAAGGCGAAGAGGAATCGTCAATGGGATTTATCTGCAGGGCCATCGAAGCTAGGGTTTGCAGAAGATGCAAACGAGAGAAAAAAAATACGAATCGATTGTAGAAATCGATTAGGAAGAAGATCGATTGAATCAGTAAGGATCTAAACCTTAATATGATACCATGTGAATTCTAATAGAAATTGAAATCTGAATGACAAGCAAGAAGAATCGATTTGCAGAGAGAGCTAATTCGTAATCTATGAAGATAGATTGCGGAGAAGAGAATATGAAAACCTAAAAACTATTACAGAGTTAAATGATATTTATACTAATGGGCTAACAGGCCTAAAATAAGGAAACAGTCCATTAGGCCCAAAAATATAAAACAGTCCAAAATATATATTTAAGAATCTAAGAGAACTATCTGCCTACGTTGAAATGTAATCGGAACC